AGCACCTCCTGCCTGCTGTGAGCCTGACCTGGTTTCCACGGCAACAGCCTCCCTGCCATCCGCGCCCTTGCTCACCTTGGGATGCTGCCTTCTCTCCGCCTCCCCATCAGACCCTCTCCACCTCAGCCCTGCTCCTTCCTGCCCCCCACCCCACTGCCACACTCCAGCCATAGCCTGTAATTAATTTCAGTGGCTGCCAGGGCCCCCTCCTAGCCTGAGCCTCGCTCCAGCAGCAGCTTCATCATTAATTAACTTTTCTGAAGTTCAAACGTTCTAATTACCAGCGCATGTCCCCACCCCCTTGCGTCTCCCCCTGCTTATCGCGCTCCTCTCCTTCCAGCCCATCCTCTGCTCCCTCGCCTGCCCTGCCACTTCTAGCTCCACACGCATTCAGCAAGGGTCTCCCAGGGACCTGGCGCACCCACTTCTTCCTCATGGGCAGTGGGGCCAGCAGGCCCATTTTACAGATGAGGAAAACTAAGGCTTGAGAAATCGAGGGGCCTCTCCTGGGAGAGCCCACATTGACAGCAGGCCTGCCGGACTCCCATGCTCTCCTCTCCGCTGTGGCGTGTGGCCTGTCCAGCATGGCTCCCCTGCCTCCCCAAGGCCTCAGCCCAAGGTCTCCTTGGAGTCTCTCAGCTGCACCCCCACCAGGCTCCTCTCCAGCCTCCAGCTCTGGCCTCCAGCCCTCCAGTCTGCCCCACAACAGCCAGGCGCTTGCTGTGAGCCCAGCACCATCGGAGCCTTTGCAAGCATTATCTCATTTAATCCTCTCCGCCTGTTAGAAGCCCTATTTACAAAAGAGCCAACTGCAACATAGCGAGAACACGATTGCCCAAGGTCACCGGCTGGAAAAAGGCAGCTGAAACACGAGACCACAGCCTGCTTTTCTGGCCCCCAGGCTATTTTGTCACTTAAATAATCTGCCTGAGGGACCAGCAGTTGGTGTAACGGCTATGTCGCTGGTCTCCCATGTAGTCGACCACGGTTTGAGTCCCAGAGCCAGTGGCTTAAACTCACGCCGGGCACAGGTGCGTGTGTGCTCAAGATCCCAAGAGAAGAATGGAGGAGAAGGGATTGCGGCGTCGCCATCCCCCCTAGGGTGTGATTTCTCGCTTTCTCTCTCTCTGTCTCTCTCTTTCTGGCAAGTGCACGTGCCCTATAGCAAAAAACTCTCAAAATAATAATAATAATAATAATAATAATCTGCCTAAAACACAACTCTGATGCGACTCTCTCCTGCTCAGAAGTCTCTCAAAGCTCCCTGTGACCCTCCTTAGCCAGATGCCCAAGGCCTCCTGGACTTTGACCTCAATGAACTCTTCTGGCCTCTCTCGCCTGCCTCGGCGTGCACGAACCTTCTGCTGTCCCCAAGCACACCCTCTGCCTGGGTTTTCTGCCCTCTACCCTCCTGACCAGGCAGACTCCGTCCATCCTTTGCAGCCTGGTCTATGTGCCACCTCTTGTGGAAGCTTCCCCGGAGGTGGTGGCCCAGCCTCCTCTCTGGCAGTGCCCCCTGCCTGCCTGGTCCAGGGGGTGACCACCATGTAGGGCAGCCTTAGGACTGTGACCTCAGCTCTCACCTCGCTGCCTCCCCGTGGAGAGCTGGAGTGACTCACACAAGGTCACCGTGGGGAGTGGCCGGACCGACTGACTCAAAGCAGTGCCCACGGTGTGACTCGGTGCTCATCTGACCCGCCCACTGCAGATCCCAGGATGGGGCAGTTGGAGTGACTTTCATCTCTGGGCCGCTCAGCTCCAGATACCCAGGGATGGACAGGCTCAGCCCCTGCCCCAAGGGCAGGGAAATCCCAGATGGCAGAGCCTGGGCCCCTTCCAAGAGCCCATGGGGCCCAGAAGTCAGGCCAGAGCTGGCATCGCTGCCTGTGGTTCCTGACCCGCTCCCACTGGCTAGGGATCAAAGGCACCAACCCGCCTTAAGGTGGAGCCAGGCCATGCAGCACAGGGTAGGAGACTCGGGGTCAATGTCCCCAGGCCAGAGACCCAGCGCCCAATGTCTGCACCACTGGCCACTCACATCCCGGAGCCCCGAGAGCGCAGCCAAGCGAAACCGTGGGCTTCTAGGACAATTTGAAGGGGGACAGAGACCCAGGAGGACTGGATAGGAGCTCTGGGCAAGAGAGCAAGTGGGGGCTCGAGTACCAGCTCGACTGGGCAGGAGGCTTCCACGGTTAGACCAGAGCCCCCCACCTGGCATCTGAACCTGTGCAGCTGACACCCCGCTGCCCTCCAGACCCTCACTCCTACTGGGGTGAGCTGTGTGAGGGCAACGGATCCAAGCCCCTACTATGGCAGAGAGAACCAGAGGGGTAGAGCTCTGTCCTGGCAACACAGGCGAAGCAGGAGCACTCAGCCTGCGGGGCCCCACCCCAGGAGTCCCTGATCCCCACTGGGTCTTCCGCCCACACAGAAGCTCCCCACATGCACCGTGGACCACTCAGCCCAGCCACGCGGAGATCATTTCATGCTGATCAGATCCCATCAAGGAGCTCCTTTGAAGGACACAGACAAAGGCGGTCTGTGGCCATCCAGTCGATAAGGTTCCTCGGCAGCCGAAGCCCTCCCAAACGCCCGGCTGGAGGGGGAGCAGTCGAAGGCACCTGGGAGGCTGCAGAGCCCTCTGTGTCTCGACCCTCCCCCTGCAGCCCACAGGACCCTTCAGAGGCACCCTCCGAAGGGGCCAGGCCCTCACCCCTACTCCTCACCCCCTCCTCAGTGCTGGCACCTCCCAAAGTCCTCCCAACTGAGCCTCGGAGCCAAGCAGGGAGTTCATGTGCATACAGAGCGTGCCCGCCGTGTGCCAGACACCAGGCACCGGGTGATAACAGTAACAGTCGCAAGCATTGCTGAGTGTCCTTGAGTGTGTGCTTAGGAGCGTTCCAATCAGGCAGCATGCACTATCTCATTTAAACCTCACAGCCCACACGGGAGGCAGGACCGAGGGCCCGCCATGGCGCCCTGCAGCCTGTGCTCTAGGAGCCAGGGTTCACCGTGATTAGTAAAGAGACCCCGTGTCTGGCGGCCTCTGTTATAAAAGGGCCAGGGGGT